GCCAAAATTTTCCCAAAATTCTCCCAATAACTTCCCCTCAATTTTCTCTGTGTTTCTGTGTCTCCTTGCTCTATAGAATTGGTCCAATTTATAAGTAGGCTTAGGAACAATTTTAAAAAACAAACAGAATCAATCACAAGCTTGAATCCTAGGATTACATTCTGTCCAACATGTTCTAAGTCCAAAATTCTCATTGTTGACATGATACTGGGTTTGACCAAGAGATTATGGTCCCTGCTTTCTTGTCCACGTGCAAATTTGGATAGAAAAGGAAATAAAGAACAAAGAAGAAAAAGAAAAGAAAAAAAAATGAAAATAAAAATATAATAGTAATAATAATAATAATAATAATAAAAGAAAATAAACATAGAAAAATAAAAATAAAAAGGAAAGTAATAATAATAATAATAATAATAACAATAATAATAAGAATAATAATAATATAATAATAATAATAATAACAATGATAATAATACTTTATACTATTCAATTGGACTTGGGCATAGAAGTGCCTAATTTGACCTAGCCACAAATGGGCCTAATCGGGCCCGGACATCAACGAGCCTAATTGGCTTAGACATTAACGGGCCTAATAGGACCCGAATATAAATAGGTGTCAACAGTAATGTTTAATGCCATCCCAAGTAAAGTGCTAAATATTCGTAATAGTAAAGGAATGATGAGTAATATGCTCTTAATAGACCTATAATATAAATATGTTAGAGTGTTATAGTTATGAAAATACTCTTGATAGGAGCTATCTATGTGAGTGTGAAGTGTGACTGTTTCTAGGAGTTTAAGAGCTTGGCTCTAACAGCACTTATGAAATGAGGATGTAGACACATGGTCATAAATGTGTCACCGAATACGAAGCATTCATTAGGTGTTGAAATCATTATGTGAGATAAGTTCGGTTAATCAAATGGAATACCTAGTTCAAACCATAGTTTATCATGTGATTTTGGTTAGCTTTAACTTGTTTTCACTAAGTGAAGGTTCAGATCAAAAGATACCTTCATTATGCAATTGATTTTCAAGGTCATCATAAATCTGGATTATTTTGAAAATGGTGAAGGGTTGTTAGATATTTTCAAAATAAAATATGGAAAATAATCTCACATTGGAAAAAAATAAAAATAGATAATTAAGTTTGTTCAAAATAGATAGATAAGTATGTTCAAAATGAACAATTTCAACTGCTCAAAAATAGATAGTTTTTGTTTATTCAAAATAGATAATCATGTTTGTAGGAAATGACACTTATCTATTTATAAAAGGCTCATTTGGTTTTCTGAAAACATATAGAAAACAATTCTTGGAACTTTCCCTCTTTCTTCAAACTTTAGATTTTTTTTATAAAAGTTTTGCTGCAAAAAACCTTTATAGAAGTTCAGTGATCTTGTGACACGTTGGTGATTGCTTGATGGATTGATTTCATCAATGCAAAATGTAGTCAATCACTAGGCTTTATTGTATCATCAAAGTTTACTGTCTGCAATTTTTTTGTATACCTACTAAGTAAATAATGCGGTGAGGGCAAATAAAACCTTAAGGAAAGTAGCACCATTACATACCTTGGAACCTTTTTTCAAAATTTCAAATTTAACAGAAATAGTAATTTTAAATTTTCAATGTTTGCTCTAATAATTTACTCTTAATCAGGGCTTGTTTCCAAATTAGAAACGTCGAAATTATGGGACATCATATCAACAAAGAGTCATTTGTGAATTATGTGATCGTCTTCGACACATAGTAAAATTAATGTTTTCGTGCTAATTATTGTTCTAAACAAGAAGCAGTTGCAAATTTCACTTCATCAAGCCAAATGATAGAAGCTGGGTTCTAGATTCCGGAGGTTCGCATCATGTTACCTCTGATTTGCAGAATTTGTAATCTTCCAGTTGAGATAATGGTTGATAATGGATAAGGTTTGACCATATCATATGTTGGTTCAACTCAATTCTTCTCTAATTCCAATTTATTTAAATTATCTAATATTCTTCATGTGTCATCTATTAAAAATAATTTGATATTATTTCAAGATTTTGTAAATCTAACAATGTCTTTGTTGAAGTTTTCTATCTCATTTTTTGATAAAGGAACTAAGCACGGGGGCAACTCTCTTCTCTAAATGTGCTAACAATTTCCAAAACTACTGTAGTAAAATGGCATTAAAGGCTTGGACATCCTTCTAATCATATTCTTTTTAGGCTTCTTAAATATTTTTCCTTGCCATTTTCTTCATTTTTTAGGATTGATTTTTTTTTTAACTCTTTTGAGTGCAATAAAAGTCATAAGCTACTTTCTTTAGGAGTAGCCTCAAAAGTAAAAAACCTCTAGAATTAGTTTACATTGATGTATGGGGGCCAGCTTCAGTGACTTTCATAGTTGGTTTTCGGTATTACATTATTTTTTTTATCACTTCTCCAAATATATGTGGTTTTATCCAATGAAAAATAAATCTGACGTCTATTCATTTCATTTTTTCAAACTTTAAAACACTTGTTGAGAAAATTTTCCAAAAATCTATTATAACATTGTATTCTGATAAAAGTGGTGAGTATCAAATTCTTACCAAACCATTTGCAACCCATAGGATTTCTCATCTTCAAACAACACCACATGCCCTTCAACATAATGGAGCTGTTGAAAGGCACCTTAGACAAATTGTAGAGAATGGTCTCACTTTACTTCATCAAGCTTCACTACCATCTAAATTTTGGTCTCATGCCTTTCAAATTGCTACGTATCTTATAAATAGAATTTCCACACCTATTCTTGATGCCAAATCTCCATTTGAGACTTTATTTAATGAGTCACCTAACTATACTAAACCAAGAGTTTTGGGTGTCTATGCTATCCTAGGTTAAAACCATAGGCAAAACATAAACTTAAATCTAAATTCAGTCCTTGTCTTTTCCTTGGTTACTTTCCTAACCCAAGTGCATTTAAATGTTACGACTTTCTTGTAAGATATATCTTTCTCGTCATGTCAAATTTGATGAAAATAATTTTTCTTTTGCTTCTTCAACTTTATCAGTAACCTCTAGATCTTTATTTACTCAATGGGATTCACACAAATCTAATGTTGCAGCTTTTGATTCGCCTATTTTTTCAATTCCCATGTCGCCAATGTCATCTTTAGCGCAGCAACAAACAATTGCGGTGGATTCTGACACAAACTCTTGCAATTCAACATCATCATCCGTGGATAAGTCTGTTGCAAGTGAAACTCCTTCAGTTCAGCTCTTTTATCTATATCATCTTCATCCTTATCTCTCTCTAACCCACCATCATCTACAAATCTCCCTTGCCTACCATCTCTTCCTCACCAACCACAACAAATGGTGACTCGATCCCAAAATAATATTTTCAAGCAGAAAAATTATTTGTTGTCACCAAACATCCCATGCCATCCTACATTGAGCTAACATGTATTTTTCAAGCTTTAAAAGATTCACATTAAAGAGCTGCCATGATTGAGGAGTTTAGTGCTTTGATTCGGAAAGGAACATGGAAAATTGCAGAACGTACTTCCAATCAAAATGTCCTTGGTTGTAAGTGGTTTGGAGTAAAAAGAAAATCCGATGATACTATTGAGAGATAAAAAGCCAGACTAGTTGCAAAGGGGCTTCATCTTTGTCCTGGTCTTGACTACACATACTTTTAGTCCTGTTGTTAAAGCAACAACGATACAGACTGCTCTCTGTATTGTCTTAAGTAAGGGGTGGACACTCCAATTAGATTTCAATAATGCCTTTTTACTAGGTATTTTACACGAGGAAGTGTACATGTCACAACCACCAGGTTTTATAGAGTTCTTTTTCATCTAATGTTTGTTGGTTAACAGAAGCCAGTTATGGTCTTAAGCAAGCTCCTTGTGCTTGGTACAAAGAGTTAAGTTCCTATCTTACTGCTTTTGGATTTGTGAACATTTCTTCTGATTATCACTCTTTGTTTATTCTAAAGACGGATGGAATGCTTACTTATGCTACCGAAAATGATTCAACAGGTAATTGGTTTCTCCTTAGGTAATTTGACTTATTTTCTTGGCATTGAGATCATATCCACGCTACCGGGTATGTTTCTAAGTCAGAACAATATATAGGAGACCTTAAAAAGTTTTAAATAGATGGTGCCGAAGAAGTGTCCTCGCCACTTGTAACACAATCACTTTACAACTTCATGAAGGTTCCCTTGCCGCTGATGCAACTAAGTATAGAAAATTGATTGGAGCATTGCAATATTTATCTTTTACAAGACCAAATATTGGTTATGATGTCAACAAATTATCTGAGTTCATGCATGATCTTACCAGTGTTCATTGGAGTTCATTAAAATGGATATTAAGTTACTTAAAAGGCCAAAATACATCATGGCTTATTTCTTAAACGATGTGGTTCTCTCTCTTTTCATGCAATTTTTAATGCTGATGGGGTAGAAAATAGGGATGACCGAACATCTATAAGTGCTTATTTAGTGTTTTAGGCAACAATATTATCTCCTTGAAATCTAACAAATAGAAAACAGTTGCCAGATCCTCAATAGAGGCTGAGTATTGTGCTATTGTAGCCTCAGGTGCTGAAATTACTTGGGTTCAAAATCTTTTGATTAAGCTGCCTATTCCCAATCTCCTTGAAGTCACCAGTTATTTTTACTGATAATGTTGGTGCCACTTATCTTTGTGCCAATCCTGTTTTCCATTATAGAATGAAACATACTGCTCTTGATTATCACTTTATGCGGGAAAAGGTTAATTGCTGGTTGTTTAATTGTGTCTTATACTTCCAGCAAAGATCAATTGGCTAATGTGTTAACAAAGCCTATCTCAAGGCATCACTTGGTTTGCATACGGTCCAAGATTGGTGTCCATTCTGGTGCCACAATCTTGCGGGGGTATATAAAGGATAATAGTTAGTTTTTCATCTAGTCTAATCTAGTCTAAGATTTGTTTATTGGTTTAAATAATTTGTTTATCTGATAACTCTTGTAAAATTTGTAAGTTATCTTGACTTGTATTCTCTGTATATATATTGATATAGATCACATGAATGAAATCATCTTTTAAGCCTTCCTCATTTTCTTTACTGTTATAAATAGTGCATACTAATATGGTATACGCTGGTACCTTGAGGCATCTCCATTTTGAACCAGGCCATCTGATCTGAGGGGATCAACATCTTCGTATACTTTTACAGTTTTTGACAACCTAATCAAAATGCAGCAAGACATTGATTAGTAGAGTAATGAAGTTATTCATAGATTTTTTTTAAAAAAAAAGTTTTTAACTTCAAATCAATTCAAGGAAACTCTTACAACTTCACCTTTAAATTCATTTTGAACCGCAATCATATTGAATAGCTGTTTTTTATAGATTCCATATGCTTATGAAATGGAACAACAAACTCAGCAGGGCTCGTTTTGTAATTTAAAGGTAGAAATAGAGGCTATGAAGCTTATAACTAGAATGAAATAAAACTTGCACTATTGGACATTGTAGTCAATAGTTGGAAATAGGACATGGTTTGAGGATATGTGTGTGATAATTTACTCAAGGAACAAATAGTTACTGAAGTAATTTGAATCTAAGAATGGCATACTGTAATTTGGTAATAATAGACAGTGAATATTTTACCCTTTGAAACCATGCTATTGCAAGGACCCTAACAAGCATACTGTAAAAAGAAGAAATGTTGCTTGCTTTTATCATAGCTCGTCTCACCCTACACGAAGTTTCCCAGTTTCACCCCTGGGAATAACAATCATGAAATTAGACTCATTTAAATTATCATCAACCTTTTAGTTAACTAGTTTTTTATGTTGACTTTATAAGTGACAAATTTCTACATAATTTTGTTGGCAACATACACGTGCAACAGCCAAACTCATAAACAAACGTGCTACTTTTGAAATGGGATAACGCCACAAACACAACCAAAAAAAAAAAAAAACACTTTTCACTTAAACTTAATTCCCAAGTCTAATTATACCTTTCCAATAGGTCATTCATATTCTTTTGGTGTTTAAGTGCTAGTGATCACCCAACTAAAAGACGAGGCATCTTATTTAGGTTTTTTTTATTTGGTTCAATTTAAGTTTGAATATTAAATATTTTTATTAGATTTAGATCATAATTTAAATTAAAAAGTGAAAAAAAAAATCAAAATTAAACCGAATTATATATTTTATTAATTTTTTTATATATTTTAATTTTTTATTAAATAAAAATAATTATTTTATATTTAAATATATATTTTTGGTACATAGATGTAGAGAAGGAAACGGGGTCTCGATTAAAAACCCAAATTTGTATATCCTCTTAAGAACTCCTTAATTATTAGGTCAAGAGTTAAGAATTATATCTAAATTTATCTAAATATATTAAAAATTATATTAAAATAATATTAAAAAATTTAAAACCTAAAATCAGAGAATCAAATTGAAAGGAATTGATTCAAATTTGAATTGATTTTTAAAAATCTATAATATTATATATTAATCAAAATAATTGAATAAAAATTGAACAAACCGCGTAGGCACAAAGTAATAGTGGTATAAAAAGTTACCAATATATTTATCGGTGTTGCGCAAGTCATAAACACCTTTTTGCAAGTTCATGCAGTTACAAGTGTTACGGATCTAAGAAAGAGTCTTGAATCTCACATCGCACATAATAGGAAGGTCACTGAAGTATAAAAGGGTTCACACCATCTCTTCCTTGTGAAGCCCCTTGTGTAAGACAAAATCGTGAGGTCATGGGGTCAAAACGGATAATACCTCATAAGAATGTGAACCCTGACGGTCAGGCTAATCCAAAACGCAGGAAGAGTGGATGCATGGATCTCGAAGCCGCGCGGGTTCAGAGCTTAAGTCTCGACCCGTGACAAGTTATATTAAAGTCAACCCTAAACCATTCGATCCACGCCAAACACTTCGATGGAGGTAAGCAGGGTGACCAACTTCCGTGACAAAAAAACTTAAGTCTTGACCCGTGACACAATGCCAAATTATCTCCGGGCCCCCTCTTGGTAAAACGCTCCTTCCTGACAAGCCTGCTAGTAATTACATCGAACACATGGTAGGGTACTATATTTGTTTTTCACTACGCGTAAGACGTTCGCCTAGGAACCAAAGCCCCTTATCTTTCCCAGGCATATAGCTCTGTTTCTTTTGAAGCTACCTTTGTATTATATTTTATTTGATTTTTATATTTTAAAATTCTGATGACTTTTACTTTTTCTATGGATATCAAAATTTTCAAGGCATTGATCCATCTTCTGGTATCTTTCAGCGAATAAAAATGAAGCAAGGGATCTCCTTGGATCGTCTTAATTATTAAACGTTTATGATATGGTAATTCTCCATTCATATTTTGAATTCTGGTGTTTTAATTCCTTGTCGATACGTTGATGATGAGGATGGAATGAACAAGTACTTTGCTGCATTTCACCTTAACCGATACGTTTCCAGCTGCAGTTATTGCTGATGATTTTGGTGATTTTATCGACGGAAGGTGTTTTGTTTAGCTACCTACAACAACTCAACATGCCCAAGAGCCTATTTTTAACATTATTTCATTTTCGTCCTTTATATTCATTAATTAGGGGCTGTCAAGAGAGATATGGTAATCCTCGTGGAAGAGACTTGGCAATGCTTACTTATTTCTCTGGCTTTTTGTCACAATGCAATAATTCATGCAAAGTACGTAAATTTTCACTAGAAAAATGCTACATCTTATGCTTTATGGCAAATACTTATTTAAATTTATACGCATAAAAAGGGCCGTGCAAGCTTTTATTATCTGATATGCACAAGGTAGCTATTTTTCTACAAGAGGTGGATTCCCACCACTTCTGCGGTCAAAGGTTTGTGTCTGAACTTTGAAGTCGCTTAACCTTTGTTTCTGGTAGTCTATAGCATGTTGATGTGTCAATAAAGCTTCTGCCATCGATTAATTTTATAATCGATTTTCTTTTTTCTCATCTTGTTTTTTCTGAGTTTTTCTTTTAACATGTATACTTAGTTCTTTTTCTGTGCTAAAGGTGATGGTGTCGGATCGTTAGTTTTTGAAATATAACAACTATTCAAGAAATGGCGGCTCTAAGAGTACAAGAATAGCAAAATTCTCCATAGCATTGAAGTTCCTTGAAGCTCTTTCGTGGAAGTTCCTTGAAGGGATCACTGAAGACTAAAAGATGGTTTATAGTGACATTGGTGATTGGGTTGATACCTTTCACTAGAATTCGGTACCCAACTCTGTTTTTGCTCAATGGAATCTGCAAATTAATTTTATTGATAAACATTTTGATCTGTTGATGTACATTCAAGTTGTGCCTTCAGGTGGCATTTCAGAGTTGACGGATAGGGTTGCCTTTATATATCCTCTTAATCATGTTTTCAACAATTGAGTTTCTGAATTGAAATGTTGTTCAATTCTAGTTTGGTTTTGGTAAAAAAAAATTTACTCCGCAAATGTAAGACCCTTCTAGGCCGTCTGTTCTATAGTTTATTAGTAATTATAAAAAGCAATGTTTGATGATTTGAACTTTTCTGCTGTGATGCAAAGTTCGCAAGTAGTTTCAAATTCAGGATATTATTCAAGAACTATGTCAGGTTCGTATGCTAAGCAAAGACCTTTTATACAAACAAACACAAGGGTAATAAGTCGTTTACCATAACATTTATTTGCAGTTCCCTCCTTCAGGTTATCCAGTAATTAGTAAACTCCTGTCTGATACTCGGGCTCACAGAATTCTCCTCCAAGATCATCACAAGCCTCTCCTAAGAAGACCCTGAAATGTTAACCATATATCAAAGGAAAGGCAACTGCAAAATTCAAAGTCTCAAAACTGTCAAGAGGATCTAAGGATCTTACGTCTTGGGACTGTTGTATTCCAAGTATTCTCTGTCAGTCTGCTCCGAAGCAGTCTTGGCCTTAGTGCTTTGTGCTTCTGGCTTTAGCTTCACTTCAGGGTACATCTCAACATCACAAGCTTCTCCTCCAATTGTCTCACATGCCTCAGCTGGAAAAACACTGCAATAGGCCACTTCCCAGGTTAAAAGCAAGCAGGTCGATGCGAATGATGTTAGATCACGAAGCTAAAAGGATGTGGAGATTGGACACTAAACTTACGAGGCATTGGAGCTGTAATCTACTGTTGAGCTTGAGTTGTCATGTGCCACAGGTGTTGCCTTGATCGGGGAACATCGAGGAACCTGCATATTTAGAGTGCACTTCCGTGGCAGAGCCAAAGTTTTGGTAGGTATCACTATGGAGAGGGCTAAAGGCGTAAAGCTCAAGGCTGCCATGATTTTTTACGGGATCTTGTAATGCTGGTTTTTAGAGTATGTATAAAGCTCTTTTGATTAATGACATGGCTAGATAAGGCAGATGGCAAGATTTTTTTATTTTATTTTATTTTATTATTATGGGAGTAGATAATGAACACTGACTGTGTGGTGGTGATGCCTCGACAGTTCCATCAGCTTGGATTTTTCATTAAAAAAACAATAACAGACAGCAACTAAGAAAAGGTCCAAGTAGGAAATTTCCCGACTCCATGTTTATGGCCTGGCTTTTAATTGGGTTAAGGCTAGCCCAACACTGACCCTTGGCTCCAAATCTTGCTACTCAGTTTTATGGATATCAAATGGTGCGAGAAATGTGATTTTTCCATTTTTGTCATCCATTACCTCAATTCCTTACCGGTTTAGAACTGGTTAGTTATTTGCATACGCAAAAAAAAAATTTTAGCTTAGGTGGTGAGGTAAGATGGGATTAAGGTAAAAATGCTAGGTTTGACTCCCTCTTATACCAAGATTGAAGATTCTGGTAAATTTCTTAAACATATTTATCTCAAAATAGCTGTCTAAAGTTATTCGTAGCATTTCCTTCTTCCTCTTTTTTCTTTTTATATTTAAAAGAAATTCTTAATATTCCCATCCATTGCATTGCATTGCATGTAGAGTATTTCGGGGTGAATAACACAGCTGTCAAGGGGTAGCTTAACAGTGATTTGCCCCCCAACCCATCCCATCCCATCCTTGCTTTTTGAACTGAGGCAGTCACCCTTTTGGAGCATCCTAAAACTTTTGTTGCTGACTGCCTGACCTCCCTGTCTCAACATCTCCTGTAACCCACACCACATTCTTTTTCTTCCTATTTTTTCAGGCTCCCTAGGCATATAATTTGCATGAAGAAGATATGTTTTGATTTCTCAGCTAATCTAATGCCATCTATTAGCCCTCCAAACCATAGACATGTGGGGATTACAGCATTACAGAGAAAGAATCAATAATTCAAGAAACTTAAAGCATAGCCCAGTCTCTTTCCACTTAGAAGCAGTTGTGGACCCAGATCTTTCTACTCGAGTTCTTATCATAACAAAGAAAAGTCAATATCCCACCCAACCACAGCCACCAAACCTTTTATATTGGACTCTACATCTAACCTCAATCCCATCCTTGCAAACCCATGAAGGAAATTACTATATCAAGTTGATTTTTATTGCAAAAGCACCCGTGACTTTCGAAAAGGTTTTGCCAACATACAGACAACTAACAACACTCCACCATAATTTGTTGTTTAAGAACATAATAATGCGGATGTGGCCCACAGTTATCAGATCAAATAGTCAATGTCTGAGTTAGAAATCTCTTTGACCACCAGTCTTCACTTATAGGATTAGCCATGCATACAATGCCGCAAGCCCAGTTATTGATGGAGAAAACATTAAGACTTGAACAGAGCACAAGTGAAACCAATGGCCGCTCACGAGCAACATTCCTGTTGTAAAACAGTTAGAGCCACAGCAGCTTGTAGACCAAATCCCTCGGAGTGAAAGTACAAAAAATATCCTATTTCTAGAATCAGCAGCTGAGTTACATTTCGATCAAAAACTATGCAGCTGAGTTAACATGGGAACAAGCTCATCACTAGAAGGCCTTTCAGCTGGCAAATCTGATAGGCAGACAACAGCAATTCTCACTGCCATCAGCATCTCATCTTCCTCGATTTCTTCCCCAAGAATGCTTTTATCCAGAGCTTCCCGTGCCTCACCAGCATGCTGTAAATGCCGAAGCCACTGTCCTAAACTCCCTCCATTGGCTGCTTCACCAAAAAATGGATCAGTGGGATCTCTACCAGTCAACAGAACACCCAATATCATCCCAAAGCTAAAGATATCACTCTTATCAGTATACCTGTTTGAATTGAAACTATTCATCTTTGTTAGAACAGCATGTGGTTTAATTTAGAAAGTGTTTCACAAATTGGAAATAACATCAACAAGTAACAAGGTTCAGTTAACAAAAGATATTGAGACTTTTTGTTTCATAATAAGGAGACATGAAAGCAAATAAATAAAGGAAAATAATAAAGCTGTATTCCAATCTCAATTGCTTTGTTTCATGCTTCCATTTTATTGCAGCATGTCTACCAGAAAATCAAAAGAGCACTGATTCCAAAAGTAGCATGCACTACTAAGTTCCAGTAAAGACTGGAAAATCTTCAAGTGGTCCTATGAAAAAAACCAACATAAATTTCAAACATAATTGTCTAAAAATTAGTTCCGAAGGGAAATATTAACTGTCATAGGGAAATAAAACAACTACCAATATGTGCAACAAACTTCACACTATTAAGAAAATCAGAAGATGCCATAAACAGATTGAGATTCCTAACAATTATAATACTTATGAAAGAGTTGCCAGAAACCAGCAACAAGGATATCAAACATGGAGCTACCTCTGCACCAATCACAAGTCACACCATATCTCTAGCAAAGCACATATTTCTTACCAAAAAAAAAAAAAATGAGGTAACCTTTAAATAGCAGAATACTTTCAGTACCTGCCATTCTGCAAACACTCAGGAGAACCATAACCTGAAGTTGAACTATCTATACCAGGCATGAGCTTAGCCAAGCCACAATCTGCCAGCCTTGGTTCGAATTCAGCATCTAACATCACATTTGTGGGCTTCAAGTTGTAATGCAAAATCTGAGGGATGCAAATAAAGTGAAGATATTGAAGACCCTTAATCACTCCAACAGCAATCCTGAGCCTGACATCCCATCCAAGCTGCAGCTGATTTCCCCTAACTCTATTCATTGCATCCTCGAGGCTGCCGGTGGGCACATAATCATAAACCAAAGAAAACCTATCAGATTCACGAACATAGGCTCTTAAACTCATCAAATGCCTGTGCCTCAAGCTGGCAAGAAGCTCCAGTTCTTGTTGTATCCTTCTCTTCACCGACTTGCTCTGCCTCTCCGGTGAACCTTCATCAAAGGGCTCAAGGACTTTGACTGCAACAGTAAGCCCGTTATCAAGAATTGTTTTATAGTACTTCCCATTAGAGCTTGATCCTAGCAACTGATTCTCATTTGCAAGGGCTGAGTGGAGAACATTGGAAGATATTTTAGGGGAAAATATAACGGGACCTTTGAGGATTGGGGTTTGGTTCATGTACTTAACTGTAAATTTGATGAATAAAGCAAAGAGAATGGCTCCAATCAATCCAGTTAGAATTCCTAAGACAATGCTGAGAATGATCCTTTTGAGTCCAATCTTGAATTCTTGAGGGCTAGAAGGTGAAGGAGTCTGAGAAGAGAGGTGTCTAATGAGCATTTCTTTGCATTGGACGGTTGTTTGGTGACAGCAAAGAAGCAGCAGCAAAAGCAAAGAGAGAGCGCAACTTCTTCTATTTTCCATACAAGTAAAAAAGCTACGAACAAACATCAATTCAAAGCCACCATAGTTCAAAATCTAAAAACCCATAAAAATGCTCCATGTTTCTTCAGCATCTTACAAAACGGAACAGAAACAAACTCAGAACAAGTTAAATTTCCCGTACAAGCACTTCTATAGCTTTTATTCTGCACCAAAACCAAAGAAGAGCTTCACCTTTTTCTACTTCAAAAACTGGGACTTCTTAAATGCACCAACTTTTGTGGACAAAAATGACAAGAAAACCCCCTAGAGAAACCTTCAACCACTTGAAACCAAAATCGAATTTTTTTCAACTCAAAATCTTCACGCAAAGAATCTTTGCGTCACTGAGTTTTATCTGTTCCCTGACCTGAAACTCCAAACGAATCTAATCTTCAAATTCCAAACCAAAAAAGAAAAAAAAAAAAATGAAAACCCAGTTTCTATGTTCCCTCTCAATACACGACTCAACTTTAGGGTCGATAAATCAATCCGAAATTATAGAATTTTTATTTGATCTAATTATTTGGAGTCGATTTTTTTTTTTGTAAAAATGAATTTTGAATAAGGTCGAATCAATTTATTTTTTTCAATAATGAATTCAGGTCGGACATACATAAAACCCGATTCAACCCGACATATTTATTAAAATATCTTTGATATTTACCTTGTATTATATATTATGTTTAAATTTTACTTATTAATTTATATTTATTTAATTTTTAAATTTTAATTTATTAAATTTTATATATTTTATAATTTTATCATTTATGGTGAAAATTTATGAGTTTTAATTTATTAAAGCAGCATTTGGTTCGAAGAAACTCACATAGTTTTTTTCAAGATTTTATTATTAGATATTTGATTCTAATTTTTAGTTTAAAGTATATGATTTTGAGAAAAATTGATAAATTTTTAATAGTATATAAAGTCTTGAAATTAAAAACTCACTTCTCTTTGTGACATTTTAAGATTTTAGAAAAAAAAGTAACATTATTTTCAAATTTGACCTAATTTAAAATATGTGAAATAGTCGTTATCATTTTAAAAATTATGTTTGAAAATGAATGCAAGTCAGTTGTAAGTTTTTGTAAGTAAAAACTCTAGTTTATATATGGTATTTAGCATGAAAAATACTTTGAATAATCTCTTACAAAAAATTAAATAAAATTATTCAAGACGTTTCTATCTAAAAATATCTTAAATAATCTTATACTATTTTTATAAAAAATTATTTAAGGTGTTTTGGACAAAAAACATCTTTAATAATCTTTTACTTTTTTTTAAGATTATTCAAGACTTTTTTTGCTAGAAAATGCCTTAAATAATCTTTTACATAAAATTTAATAAAGTTATTAAAAGTGTTTTTAGCAAAAAAAAAAAGTCTTGAATAATCATTTCATAAAAATTAAAGTAAATTATTGAAGGTATTTTTTATTAAAGACGTCTTAAATAACCTAATTAAATTTTTTATAAGGGATTATTCAAGACGTTTCTATCAAAAAGCATCTTAAATAATCACTTCATAAAAATTTAAAGTAGATTATTGAAGGTATTTTTGACAAAAAATACCTTAAATAATCCCTTACAAAAAGTTTAATGGAGGTTATTCAAGGCATATTTAAAAAAAAAAAAACACCTTAAATAATCTTCAATAAAAAATTAAAAATGGATTATTCAAGGCATTTTTCACCAAAAATACATTGAATAACCTCATTCAATTTTTTGTAAGGGATTATTGAAGGTATTTTCTAAGTAAAAAAATCTTAAATAATCTTTTTAAATTTTTATGAGTTTAGAGTTTAAGAATTATTCAAAATGTTTTGGCTAAAAACGTTTTCAATAATCTAATTCAATTTTTTGTGAGAATCATTCAAGGTATTTTCTCAGAAAAAATACGTTGAATAATCCTATTAAATTTTTATGAATTTAGTATTTATGGTTTAGGGTTTTTGAATTATTTAAAGTATTTTTTGTCATAAATGACATCAATAATCTTCTCATAAAAATTGAAGAGAATTTTACTATAAAACACATTGAACAACCCTATTTAATTTTTTGTAAGGATTATTTGAAGCGTTTTCTAGAAAAAATGTTATGAATAATCTTCTTTAATTAAAAATTAGATTATTTAAGTTATCATTGTATATGCCAAAGAAATTATAATAATTATTTAAAATTTAATATATGTGAATTTTTCAACCAAACGAATGAATCTAAATACGGAATACCTTGAAAATTAAAAAAAAAACCTCGAATATCAAATTTTTTTGAAGATTACACTTTTTCCTGAAATCTATAATTTTGTAAACTAAACTCCCCTTAAGTTTTATGTATTTTATAATTTCATTATTTGCGGTAAAAATTTATGAGATTTTATTAGATAAAAAAATTATATCTACTAAGTTTGAATTTGTGAATGATTTAATTAAATTTATTAATATTTGTAATATATTTAGATTATGATTTATTAAATTTTTTGTAAATTTAAATTAATAATAAATTAAATTTGAATAAAATTGGATCAAATTGAAATCAAATTTTTTAATGAATTGAAATCAAAATTTTTAAGTAAAACCTTCGTGTGAAAATAAGTAATAAAACTGAAAAAAAGTAAAAATTTGACCTGCTCTATGTTGTTGCCAACTCTACTCAACTCCCAAGCTTTGCAGAGTCTTAGCAGAGTATGTCTTTGTTTTTTTTTTTCAAAACCAATAATTGCTGTTATTGGGCTTCAAAACTGTTTTGTAGTGTTGGAAAAAAAAAAAAAAAAAGGAGAAATTTTGTTTTGTTTAATTTTTCTATCTCTAATCTCAATTCTCAAATTTGGGGCCTAGCCAAAGCGGGGCTTTAGCGTGCAGTGCAGGGGGAGGGTATCAGTACCACGTGGCGGAAGCATCGCTAAGCAAGACATGGAACTGTTTGGTGCAAGAGTACAAGGGGGGATGGTGAACGTTCGTTGGAGCAGCGAAATAATCGGCGGCATTGGTAGGGAATTTGAGCGATGGTCGCTTTTTGTGAGTGATTAGATCATACAAATTGCACATCAGTCTTTTGGTTACTGTTCAGAATGGAGCGGTGACTCAAAAAAAAAAAAAAATGATGAGTTATGTATAATGATTGATGCTGATTTTGGATAATGAAAAGTAATTAAATCATTGCCTTGATTTTTTTTTTTTTGAAAAAAGTAGTGAATTTTTTATAATTAAAATAAGATGATATATAAAATTAATAATAAATAATATTATTTATTTAATATATTTAATATATAAATAAAAATTTTAATTTTTTAAAAAATTAATAATTATTGTTTTATAATTAATATTTTTTATAATAGATAATATTATTTAATAATTATTTTATATTAAAACTTTTCATATTTCAAAAGTAATATTCATTTTAATATGTTTAAAAATAATTTATGTGATAATTTTTTTATTTTAATAAATTAATTTTATTTTTTACATAATTTCTATTATAAAAATTAATTTATTTATCAATAAATATATTTTTTAATTTAATAATTTATTATATTTTATTATAAAGTAAATAAAATATCATTAATATTTTACAAATTATTATTTTTAAATAATATTGAAATTATTAATATATATAATTATTATAATATGCATGATTATTTTAATATTTTTAAATAAAGTAATAATTAATTTTTTAATATTATCAAATACAAAAATCTTTAAATATTAAGAAATAATGATTTTAAATCAAATAATATAATTTCAGATTATAATGTTAAAATCATCTTAATAGTAATTTTTTTTCAATAATTAAATTATCATATGATATTAAAAATGATACAAAATACTCCTTTATTATTATTATTATCGTGGGAATAGTAAAGTTTATTTTTCTGTTATCTTTAAAAAAAGGTGCACTCATTTTACGGTACTGTAAATTTAGTACAGCAAAAAAAAAAAAAAAAACCATTCATTCAGTTGTGAGAGATTATTTTCCTATTTGCTTTTATATTACTATATTATATATTTAAAGTATATTTCCAAGTAAAGTGTATTATTTTTGGCCATTTATAAATAATATTTGATTGGGGGAATTATTACTTAGTTTAATAATAATATTTAGTCGTATCTAGGGACGTGTGAAAGGAGAAAACGTGCGTAGGCGCGAGGCTTTTGAGAACTTTTTCTACTTGTCACCGTGCAGCTGCTGTTTATACTTTGTAACCATGGGCCCAACTAATCCAAAAGCAAGCACGATCTAACATTTCACCCCCTTTTATTATGACGAAGAAAAAAGTTCGAAAGTTTTGATAATGATTCCAATCCTAGCGTTCTATTTGAATCAATTTTTATTATACTCCGTTTAGATAGTAAAATATTTATTCGCTTTTATTTGTGTTTTTCATTCATATAATAAAATGTGAAATTATTCTAATCGAAGCATTTTTAATTACGCTTTATATCACTATAAATTTTCCTTAAAATAAAATGTATCTTATTTATCAATTTAATTAATTGAATAGAAAAATGATATTCAAAAAGTAAAAAATTTCAGATTTTAAAAAATGAGAAACTAATTGGAAATCTTAAAATTTTATTTTATTCGATTCAATTTCAACACGTAATTGATTCGTTTTTTAAGAAATCATACGCTGTAAATTAATCTAAATTTTATATCGAAATTAAAATTAAATCGAATAAAATGATTACCAATCCTAATTTTTAATTTATATATTTTGTTTATCCTTTTTTTTATAATTTTAAATTTTTTTAAATAATAATTTTTAATAAAATACAAAAGCTTATGAGGTTTGTAAAACTATACTTAAACTCATTAGATTAAAAAATACCTTTCATCTTCCATTGGTTTGAAAATTCTTTTTTAATGTAATATTAATATAATTATATAATCAAATGTAATATTAAAAATTATGATACCTACAATAATATTTGACACTAAGTATGATTACAATATCGGTGTAATTCTATTCTTAATTAGTTGGAAACTTTGTATATAAATAGAAAATTTCTGTGCAGTTTTTCCAAGCCAACGAATGGAAGAACTATTTTTCTTGTAACATGTTCTCAGAGTTACTTTATTTATTTTATGTGGAAAACACCCTTTCTAGGGACCTATATATATTCTTTTACAATCTAACCTTACACAAACACCACTATCACCCTACAAAATCCTTTCTTGTCCCTGTACGAGCACCCTAATGAAATTTCACCATCTGAAACCTCCGGAAACCACCATTCTCTTTGGTTAACGTTTTCGAGTTCTATTAAATGCACGAATTTTCTTCAGCCACCAAATAGTAACAATGTCATTGTTTGTGTTGAGTTCCGATATAAGGGTAATTTTAGAAAGATAAGAAAGAGAAGAGAATGATTAGAAGCAAAGTCAAGGAGTATTCTTTGCATTTGTACTCTGATGTACAAGTCATAGATTGAAATAAGGAGGTCGGAAAGACAGAAAAATAAGGATTTTGGGAATAGAATAGAATGGAATGATAGTACATGGATA